CAGCTTTAAGCTAATTCAATTGAAATTAAAAGTAAAATAAGTAGCCAGCCTTATAACTGTCTGTAACCTACTAACAAGCTAAGGAAAGCATCAGATGAGCTACCTGAGAAACTAACGTTACGTTTCCCCACTTTAAAACGAAACAAACATGGTTACTCATCCTGCTGATCAGCTCTCTTCACTGCCATTGAAGGCTCCAACGTGTTTCCTTTTCAGGTGCTGCATCATAACAGTGGTGCTTCCGTGCCATGTTAATGTGTTTTTACAAAAGTTGCATGTCACGACTTTTTTCGCTTTACAAAGCACAGGCTGTCTGGAATTGAGATGCAGCTTGCGTTTGCGGTATTGGTCATTAGAACAGTTGACGTTACTGCTTTTTGAAAACAGCCTTTGCTCACCTGCGGCGCTGGCTCGAGTGGCAGTGATGACGACGGCGGCAGATGACGCATTAATCGCGCGACACAACTAATCGATGATGAAATTCGTTGCCAACGCTTTTAAAAGTTGATTTTTATCGATTTTATCGATTCGTTGTTGCAGCCCTTATTTTGTGTTAAAAGCTCTACTGTTTTCACTTTATTGGATATGGTGTGAAAACATGTGACAGTATTGATAAAAATTTACCTTCTACTACACTTTAATACTAAATCCTTTGGATGTGTAATGTTTACATAAAAAAAAAATCCCACTATGGTATGATAAATAGACTTAATCAGTAAGAAGATAGTTTAAAGTTTTGAGATGAAGATCTAAAATAAATTACAACATACGTGTTAAATATTTGAAGATAAAAGCACTTTTTTCTAGGTGGTACTTACACACAGTTGTCTGGTAAGTTAATAGTCCAGCCAATTTTTTGTCCTCTTCTTTCTCTGGCAGCAGCGGTATGGATAAGTTTGCTCTCATCTTCACAGCGTTATCTTTTTCCTCCTGATCGGCCAAAACTTTCTTCTCTTCCTGAATCGTCAAATAAAGAAAAAAAGTGTCCTTTTTTTAAATGTAACACAAGAAGAAAATCTAATTTTTTTTATATATATATATATATATATATATACACACACAAACATACACCACACACCTTTACAGAAATGTGTCTTTAGAAGTTAACTTTCTTACAAGAGTTAGTTTCTTACTCTGAACTTCCTGCGGAGGGCGCTGTTGATCTGAAAGTCATCCTTCCAACCTGCCTGATACTCCTGGATTTCCGACAGAGAAGGGAGAGCTTTTGTGAGCTTCTCCTTGTCTTTCCCACCATGGTCCAGTTTGTACATGGCGTCCGTCTCCAGCTTTTCTTTCTCTTCCCGTTCTGTCCCAAGAGGCAAAAAAAGAAGCCGTTTGCAACAGGCATAGCCTACATGCAAAGGAGACAGTGGGAGGAAACCTGCAACTATAGATGAATGTTTTACCGGTGGTCAGGATCTGCTCATTTTCAGCCATGTCCCAGCGCTCCTCTTTCCTGCTTGCTCCACTTACTATCACATAGTCACAAGTCGCAGGATCCGTCTGCATCTCAATATAGTTCACACAGAGGTGGCATTTCATCCTAAACCTGCACGGGAGAACAGAAGTTAGTGTTTTTTTTCCAGTTTAAAAGCTTAAAAATTTATTTTATTAGAAAACAGCCTTAATAGAATATCTGTGTTTACCTATAGATTGGCGTGGTGTAGTAGTTCCCCACTTTCTTCTTTTCTGCGTTGTAACGAACACCTGTGCAAACAAAATGTTTGGGAGGTTATACAAATAAAAGGATGCTTCATTTTATTAAACATTTTTTTCCCTGCTTTATCTTACCCATGCCAATGTGATTCTTGCAGCCATCACACCAGATGTTATAGGGCATTTCAAACCTTCACACAAAAACAGGCAGTTAATACACAATTTTGGCTGAACGTAAAAGCTATTAAACATTTTATTTTTGAAAAAAAATAAAAATAAAAATCTGGATTTTTATGTTGTACAAATTTTATTTTTATCATAATAACACACTCCGTGGTATGCATGAAACTGATCTTATCAGCAGATATGAAGAACACTGACCGGAATGTAAATTAATAAAGAAAATGTTCCAACGCCGTTTTCTTTCTGCTGCTGTGGTACTAACCTGATGATGAGGATGCCCTGGGACAGTTTCCTTGCCCTCTCACGAAGGGCATGAGTTTTATGATAGCCATTGAGGGAGCCATGCTAAAGGGAAGGAATAACAAAAAAGGTAAATATACATCTCTAAAATATATCCAGAATAACTAGCAGGTCAGATCTGTTGCTTTCACCTTGGCTGGATCAAAATCCGGAGGGTAGTATTTGTTTGTTCCTTTTCTTTCTCCCTGTCAAAGAAATAGTGTATTAGTAAGGAACATAAGCTTTTTAGTGGATCACAGACCTAAAATAATATAAACAATGATTAGGTAAACTTCTTATCACATACAGGTGCTGGTCATAAAATTAGAATATCATGAAAAAGTAGATTGATTTCAGTAATTCCATTTAAAAAGTGAAACTTGTATATTATA